GGTCAACTCGGCATCCACAATTTCATTTCGACCACTGTTGTCCCACTAATGATCTAGGGTTGTTGCCTTGATAGGGCCCCGGTTCAGTTATGAAGCCGACGTCAGCCCAGCATGGCTTCAATGTCACCAAGCAAGCGACGCTTGTACCCCTTGGCTCATTTTCAGAGAGAATTTTCATGGGTGTAAGAGCCTGCCTTTAAAGAGGCCACTTGCCAGGCACATATATTGAAAGTAAGATCAAATTGAAGAGTGGAGCGGTGCTAAACCAACAAAGCGACCCGTTTCCTAAAAAATCCGATTTCGAGCTACTTAAAAGAGGACACAAACTCAAAGAATGTAGGTGGCACGCGTCCATTGACAGACCTTCGCAATTCTATTAGGTCGGTATTTTTTGAGAACCTTTGGTGTTTTTCGACTTAATTACTTATCTTATTTCTCTGATGTATTTATTCAGCACAGTATACATCACCATTATTACCAACATATAACCAATGCGAGGGTGGGTATTCAGTGTCCTCTGTAGAATTTCATAGAGTTCTGATCGAAGAAATATTGGATGTCGATTTTGACTTTATGGTGATTCAAGTGAGATTTCTTCTCCAGAAGGTGATTGAGAGAGGAGAGCGGATAGTCGTTCGTTGACGCAGGATTAGTGCTATAAGGCGAGCTAAAAGAACTGACCGCCCGAGAGTCTCCAATTTTTTAGGAATTTTCTTAGCAAGGCGGGCTCGAACGACCTCAGAGAAAAATAGATTTTGTCTTCCTTTGCTTTCAAGTTGAAGGCGTTGCCATCAAGCTGTCAACGATTCTTCCCATCACTGACACTGGTATTAGTTGATGCCGGTCTTCAGCGCAAAGGCCCTCCCGTATTGCGCCAACGACTCAGGAAGTTCGAATTCAGAGGGAGTTGGGTTTTTACTGTCAGAACTCCCGAATCGTTTGAGCAAATCTACTGCGGCTCGTGGATTTGTTAGCACACTGCACCCAGTCCACATCACCAATGAGTATTATAGATGGTCATCCGAAGGAACTATGGGAAACCAACTAGGAACTTGATGATGTCAGATTGGGTTGAGAACTGATTCGATATATTCCTTAGATCAGAACTCTATGAAAATCCACAAGAGAGCACTGAATACCCACCCTCGCATTGGCGATATGTTGTTAATAATAATGATGTGTACTATGCTGGATAAGTAGATCAGAGAAATAAGATAAGTAATAAATCGAAAAACACCAAAGGTTCTCAAAAATTGTGGACCGACCTAATATATATGACTTACTTGATTAAATGGGTTCGACATGATGCCATTCAAATTTCGATTGTTCCTGCACGTGCGTGCGTGGCGCAAAATCCAAAACTTGCCATCAGCCTGGTCTTTTGTTCGCTCGGCACTAATAAACGTCCGTTTATAGCTTGCAGGATTCAGCGATACCGAAAAAGGCAATGGAATCCTCATCCCTAGCTTACCCACCCCAATGAGGGCTTGAACCCTCGCCTGCCACTAGTCACCATTCCCTTTTTTCTCAGACCCCAAGTACTTGTGGTACCATGTTCTTATCAATACGTAGACGAGTATATAGATAGCTGAGAGAGCGTAGTGTGAGAGCAGCGAGATATTCGCAGCAACGCGCTAATTCAACGGGTGAGAAGTGTGCATTCTCGCTTATGAGCACGTTCTCATGTTCTCTTCTTTTGTCCACTCACCATCCAGAGGTAATGAAATGGGTCGCTTCTTCATCGCAAATTCGTCCTTTAAGTGAGCACTCATCTTCTTTCCTCTGCTTGCGATTATCCACATTTGCAACTTCCCCTGATGAGAGCTTTAGGATATAATCAGCCTTAGTTCTACCAAGGCTGCTGTATGTCCTCCTTTTTGGAAGTAGACCTTCTGCACCTGATAGTGACCAAATAAAGTTCTCTGCGCCTTCAACAACTTAATTTATTAAACCAGGAAGAAATCCATAAATTAATAAAGAGTAATTTTTACTTAAATTCCAAAAATTCTGTAGAAAATAAGGCGATCACAACACCGACAAGCAAAACGTACAGCCTACAAAAAAGTTACTGTATGCTTGAACAGACGAAAAAATCAGCGCATGGAATACAGAAACATGTGTTGCATGTGCTTTCAACCAAACGCAGTACCTACAGCGACTGTCAAATGTTTTGATTCGAATAATAGAATAGTGAGTTGGTCAATGATTATTGCTGTCTTTAAGACAGTTACGGGAGAATTCAGCTGGGTTTCAGACGTTCAGAGAGCTCCATTAGTCCGGAATGCGCGAATTTGGGATTCATGTTGCTAGGCCTGTTAGTCATTCTGCAGAGTTGGAACAAGTTTGATCGAAATGCCATCAGGAATGAGAGCGTCTATGGGGTGAATAAGTACCATATAATCTAATGTGTGGGAATAATCAGAAAGAAAACGATCTCAGTCAATTGAACCAACAACAGGGCAGTGATGGTGCTTTAACGTTCAAGAACAGAGAAAAGGTAAAAATTGAATTCTAAAAATTCTATTCCGATGACATCACAAATGTGTCGACGGTGGTGTCCTGTAGACTTTGAGAGACGTCTGATCCGGTTTGTGACGTCGGTGATGCAGGAGGCTTTTGGATTAAAGCTTCCTCGCTTTTGGCCGGCTGCGGAACAGGTGACAGTCGTGAGGACGGCCGGTATGACGTCATGGTCGTCCGATCGTCGATATCCGAAATGACTTCGTCCTGAAATGGACAAGTGCTGGTCATAGGGAAGACTCAGTTCTGATTGTTCCTGACAAGTTTCAGCAGTGGTGAACCGAATTTTTGGCTTGGAAACAGGGTCAATCATGCATTACGAATTTCGCGTCAGGAACGAAGACCAAGGGCCGTAAATGATTAGACTTCGAAGGGAAAGGGCTTTGTTGGGGTTTCAGAAGGATTTGTCAGGAGCATAGAAGACCAGGCTTTCCTGAGGTACTCATAAAGAACGGCACCCAAACACGCTTTGGTGAATGGACTAGTCTTAGCCGACTCTAGAAGGTCCCTGAACACCGCTTTAGGGAATCTTCGAATGTGGATGGAGCACAGCTAATCCACTGCGCTAGCTTCATGTGATTGCTTCACACAATTCATGGGCTCGGGATTGGAAACCCTGAAAATGTCCCAAAAACGCTAACCTATACGCCGGAAAAAAACATAAGTTCCAGCTCTACCCCTTTCTTGGTCACTTCTATGAGCTTCTCCCGGTACTAACTTCGAGCTCAGAAAGTCTATCAATGAGGGAGTAAGAAATACAATAGAATGCGAGCTCCCCCACCCATCCCTTGATCACGAGTGTGATACACCCCCTTCCGGTAAACTTCCTTCAGCGAGCGTTTGACCTTGTCTGTGACAATATAAATAAATTGAGCTCACTTGGAAGCGAACTACAGTTTTCTTCGGTGTCATATCCAACAAGTCTTCGTCCGAGTCGACAAACATCGGGAAGTGGCCATCCTGAAAATGAAAATTTGAAGAAGTACTCCAACTAAGTACTTGAAAAAATGCAGATCTGAAATCGTTCACCTTGAGAAATAGTGGCACCAATTCGGGTGGCCATATACCCTCGACGATCATATGTGTTTGTGGGACACGACTTAATCGGCCGAGTTTCACTTGAATTGCAGCCTGAAAATAAAGTTGCTGAAATATTTAACTTATACAATTACCTCAAAGTTTAGTCATAATGTAGCTTTTCTCTATGGCTGCTGATAAATCCTGGAGTAAGGCTTTCATCATGAGCGAGGCACTGTTGCACTGAAAAGAAGCGCAAGCGCCAGACATGTGGCGTGACCATGAGAATCGAACTCGAGATCAGATCTCGCCCATTTCACGAACCAGTCTCTTTATGAGGGTCCGTAAATTGGTACTGAGGCGGCAAACTGAAAAGCACTGAGTCGAACATTGACCTATGTTTGGACCAAGGTGCAAGTGGTGTACTGGCAAATGACGCTGCTTACAACGCGCTGGTCGGGACAAATCCTTGATCGTGCGTCGTCCAGACCAAGCAGCCTTCCATCTCTTCAGGGCCCTTTGATTAGTACCAGACTTGTCTGGGAGGATAACGACACTG